CTACTGAAGCCAGACTTCTTCAACACATCAAACAACACGATTAAAACCATGATGTCCACTGTGATCTCAGCTACTCTTCCCAAAACCACCAACACTAAACTCACCAAACCAATCAACTTCACCTTCAGACACATCAGAGTGAGAGAATGAAATGTGCTTTTGTCAAACCTGAGAACTGAAGAACATCTGAAAACATCTAATATTCAGTGTTTTATTATTTTCTTCATCTTTTTCAGGAGTTTGATCCCAGTGGTTCTCTGTCCTGTGTGTACTGGAATATCAGTGAGTGGATTGAAGATGGTTGTTCTGTTTTAAAGACCAACGGCAGCTACACTGTGTGTTCCTGTGATCATCTGTCGACATTCGCTCTTGTGCAAATCAGCCGCCCACCAGAGGTACGAAAGAGAACGTCAAACCTCCTCAAAATACTGAAGCATTGAACTAGCATAATTCAAATTCAATCTACAGTACACTCTTAAAAATAAAGGTGCTTCAAAAGGTTCTTCAAGCGATGCCATAGAAGAACCATTTTTGGATCCACAAAGAACCATTCAGTCAAAGGTTCTTTAAAGAACCATCTCTTTCTTACCTTTTTATAATCCGAAGAACCTCCTTTTGCCACGAAGAACCTTTTGTGAAACAGAAAGGTTCTTCAGATGTTAAAGGTTCTTTATGGAACCATTTAGACAAAAAGGTTATTCTATGGCATCGTGAAGCACCTTTATTTTTAAGAGTGTAGATGATCAGCATTTATAGTGAATACTAAGAACAGCACATATTTTGAACTCAGGTTTTCAACTCACAGATGAATCTGGTGATTTGGGTGTGTGTGATCGTGGGGCTGGTGTTCTTCAGTTTGGCCCTGTTGACCTTTGCCCTTTATAAGTGGAGTCCTGTGCGTGATTGGATACGTGGTTGTGTTGTGCTGGGTCCTGAAGGCTACAAAAGGGAAGAGTAAGTTTATGTATTTATTTATTTAAGAAGGAAATAATACTGCTTGGGGTTTATGTAACATTTCTGCTATCTGGTAAAAATACAACTTTACATACAAAATTGTAAAAGTTAACATGAAATAGTATTGTATGTATAATAGTATGGCTCAGTTTGTGGTTCTTGATTGCTCCTGGATTCTGGGTTTCTTCACTAATGGCATTCATGTGCTGGAGATCCTCTTCCTGATCTTGAACTCTCATCTTTCCTGATTTATTGTGTCCTCAATAGTGAGGTCAGACATTTTTCTAATTTTACCATCATATTCCATAAGAAATCCAAACATGAAATACTTTTCAGTTGTTTTCACTGAGGTCCTGTTCTTTATTTGGTGATCTCTGACTTTTAGAGAGGAATGTCAGAGGCAGTTTGTTTAATCTGTTACTCTTCCATTTCCTTCCTGTGACAGAATGTTCAAATGAGTCAAAACTGAAGTCCCTTTAAGTCATTTCACTCTGTGGCCATCCTTGAAACGCCTCTCGGGGCATGCAAGTGCAGCTCCTATTTCTTTGAATGGGGAAACATCAAATTCTCCAAAACTGTTTGCTAAGATTATGATTATATTTGAAATCACCAATGAAATCTGAAAACAACTGCCTCATAAATGTCGTTTATTATGCTCTAATACAGGGATCCTCAAATCTGGCCCACGAGATCCACTTTCCTGCAGAGTTTCGCTCTAACCTGAATCAAACACACCTGAGCATACTAATCAATGTCTTCAGGATCTTTACAAAATCACAGGTACACTCTTAAAAATAAAGGTGCTTCATGATGCCATAGAAGAACCTTTTTGTCTAAATGGTTCCATAAAGAGCCTTTAACATCTGAAGAACCTTTCTGTTTGACAAAAGGTTCTTTGTGGCGAAAGAAGCTTCTTCAGATTATAAAAAGGTAAGAAAGAGACGGTTCTTTAAATAACCTTTGACTGAATGGTTCTTTGCGGAACCAAAAATGGTTCTTCTATGGCATCGCTTGAAGAACCTTTTGAAGCACCTTTATTTTTAAGAGTGTAGGTGAGTTTGATGAGTTTGGAGCTAAACTCTGCAGCGCATTGGTCCTCCAGGACAAGATTTGAGGAACCCTGCTCTAATAGCATTTTAAAAAATCGTATTTTTCAGGCTAGACCAGTGAATGTACATGTCTGTCTCAGCCTGTCTCAGAACGCTGACTCTTTCTATAGCAACCGGAGCTTCTAAAGGCAGCTGCAGTGACGAGATGACTTTATCAATCCGTGATTGGCTCTTCTATTGAGAAGGCGGGACTATTCCGTTATATTGCACATTACACTTTCTACCATTCATAAGTAATAGGAGTGAACCTATATCTAAAGTATTTGGCCAAAACTATTCAAAACTCCAAAAGTCAAAAATTCAAATTTAAAGAAACACAGAATGCCTTTGATCTGCTGTCTGTCTGACTGTCTGTATGCACAGCATTACTGCTTTCAAACTTCAAACTTTTAAAACTATCTCAAACTTTTAGGCATGGCTTTTTCAAGCCAACATCAGAATTTCAAATCTTCTTTTTTTTCTGTTTCAGAAAAAATACTGTTCAGAGACAGTATATGGAAGAAAAGTAAAGATTCAGTTTTAACCTCAGAACTTCAACTCTAGTCTCTTTAAACACATTTTCTTATCTGTTTATTATCAACAAACTCTATTCTGGTTCATGAGTTTCAGAGGTTAAATTGATCTCATGAAGTCATTCAGCTCCTCTCGTCTCATTCCTGTCCAGGTTACGCTGCAGTACACGAAGTGCTTCAGATGCTGTGGACTCAAACCCAACAACATCAAAAGTGTCCCAAAAAACACAGAGGAACACAACATCATGTTAACCCTAGAATGCATGAACCAAAATCAACACAAATGCATAAAGGGGGTCAAATGACCCATATTGGAATGAAAGATTTTGATTTCTTCCAAAAATAGTTGACATTGAAATAGCTAAAGTAATTGATAATACAAATGTTTTAATATATCAAACATCTGTATTTGTCCACTTTTATATATATATATATATATATATATATATATATATATAT